CTTTTTTCCTGTGATATGACTCGTATCAATATGATTGCTATAGCTTTAATTATATCAATTTTGATCTAATCCAATTAATAGTATCTATAAACAAATTTGATATAAATCAAGGACAAAATAATCCATAGGGAAAGGAATAAACGTCAACCCCTAAATTATTTTGATGAGAGTGAACAAAATATTTTGTTCCATGAATTTAGACTAGTTTTCTAAAGAAAAATTCTTCATTAGACTAACTTGATACAATATTAAAAAAAAAAAAGAAGGTAAAATTGATGTAAATAAAACTACAATGACTAAATTGATATAAGAGGAAAGCATTAAGAACTATAATAAGTATACTTTGCCGCTTGTTTAAAAGATAGTTACGGTTGAAATGTTGGAAGATTTAAACTTTTAGCTTATGTTTTTATTAGGCCTTCTTTGGGAAGTTGATTATTTTAATTGGCTATTTGACTTTTTAATTATTTTAGTCTGACTAAAATAGTTGTGTTTTGAAAGTTGGTTGGTTGGTTTTTTTTTTTTTAGAGTTGATTTGATGGTTGTGAAAGAAAAAATAAAATAATTATAGATTAGATGTTACATTTTATCTTATTTACTATTTTAATCTATTTTGTCTTTTAGTAGACTATTTTAGCCTAATAAACAAACAAGATAATAAATCTAACAAATTTAGCATAATTATACTAATGAACATTTTTAGAAAGATCAAAACAATTAAAACTAATTCAAATGATGTGTGGAAACAGGGCTAAACAATGTGAAAGATGTGTTTTAGTGTAAAAGAAATGATAATATCGTCTCTTGATTTATACGATTAAGGAATTATTGATGAAAATAAGACTAAATATTATGTTAATTAAAATATTAAGAGAGACTAATGTATTTATGTTAAGCTTGTCAGACTCAGACTCTGCTTGAGAATAAGTAATTTTAGTGGCTTTTTAGTTATTTAATTATTTTAGGAAGTGAAAAAAAGTTTGTGTTTGGAACGATGAATAGATTTTTTGTTGGATTTTGTGTATGGAAAAATGTGTTTGAATGATGATGACGCTTTTGAGTTCACTCTCCGAGTCTCAATGTGGAAATGTTTTCCCTAGGTGTTTCCAGCATGTTTTCCCTAGGTGTTTCCAGCATGTTTTCCCTAGGTGTTTCCAGCATGTTTTCCCTAGGTGTTTCCAGCATGTTTTCCCTAGGTGTTTCCAGCATGTTTTCCCTAGGTGTTTCCAGCATGTTTTCCCTAGGTGTTTCCAGCATGTTTTCCCTAGGTGTTTCCAGCATGTTTTCCCTAGGTGTTTCCAGCATGTTTTCCCTAGGTGTTTCCAGCATGTTTTCCCTAGGTGTTTCCAGCATGTTTTCCCTAGGTGTTTCCAGCATGTTTTCCCTAGGTGTTTCCAGCATGTTTTCCCTAGGTGTTTCCAGCATGTTTTCCCTAGGTGTTTCCAGCATGTTTTCCCTAGGTGTTTCCAGCATGTTTTCCCTAGGTGTTTCCAGCATGTTTTCCCTAGGTGTTTCCAGCATGTTTTCCCTAGGTGTTTCCAGCATGTTTTCCCTAGGTGTTTCCAGCATGTTTTCCCTAGGTGTTTCCAGCATGTTTTCCCTAGGTGTTTCCAGCATGTTTTCCCTAGGTGTTTCCAGCATGTTTTCCCTAGGTGTTTCCAGCATGTTTTCCCTAGGTGTTTCCAGCATGTTTTCCCTAGGTGTTTCCAGCATGTTTTCCCTAGGTGTTTCCAGCATGTTTTCCCTAGGTGTTTCCAGCATGTTTTCCCTAGGTGTTTCCAGCATGTTTTCCCTAGGTGTTTCCAGCATGTTTTCCCTAGGTGTTTCCAGCATGTTTTCCCTAGGTGTTTCCAGCATGTTTTCCCTAGGTGTTTCCAGCATGTTTTCCCTAGGTGTTTCCAGCATGTTTTCCCTAGGTGTTTCCAGCATGTTTTCCCTAGGTGTTTCCAGCATGTTTTCCCTAGGTGTTTCCAGCATGTTTTCCCTAGGTGTTTCCAGCATGTTTTCCCTAGGTGTTTTCAGCATGTTTCCCCTAGATCATTTGCATTCATGTGAAGCTTGTTTTTAAGAGTGCGTTCAATAGACTTTTCCATGTGTTTGTAGGACTTGGACCTTTGCCTTGATCCCGACGTCCCAAGAACTAAGTGAGTGGTATTTTTAATAAAGTTATGTTATAAAGTTTTGACAAAGCCTTGCTTCGTTTTAGAAAAGTATTTGATTAAGCATGATTGATTATCTCTATTTTGTGTATCAAGTAATTAGCTTTGTTTTGGATGACATTCTTGGAAAGTCCTCCCATGCTAGGGGACTCTAAGCCCATGTAGCACCATGTTTGAGAGATCTCTGTCATCGACGGTCTATGAACGGATGGCCCCACCGACGGTCTATGAACGGGTGGATTTGTCTAATCGATTCCGGGTCGATTATTCCCTTGTCTTGTCCGAAATGTCATCACCCCATGTATTATGTAGATGTTATTTAGCATCCCAAGCAAGATTTGAAAGACCAAGATTTGATTGATGAACTTGATTCATCCCATGTTTTGAACAAGCTATGATATATGTATTGTTTTGACAAGAACCTCGGGAATCATTCATTTACCCCTTTATTACTTATATCATTCACTGAGTATCCAAGCTCACCCTCCCTATGTATATATGTAGGTAACAAGTTAGAAGTCGGCTACGCCGAGATGTGTGTTTTGTATGCATGTTATGTCGGCAGTGAGGACGTCGGCAATCTTGAAGCTTTTGTATTTGAACATGTCGGCTGAGAAGCCCTTTCGTTAAGATGTGATATGTATTTTGTACTTCATTTCTTTATGTATTCAAGTTGTAAAGCTATGTAAAGATGTATGCCATTTCATTTGACTTATGCACTGCTCTTATGGACCACTTGTATCTTGAATTATTGCTTCCGCATTTGTGAGCCCCCTATATAAATACTCTGATTGTGTGTGAATTTTGTAAGTTGGCCTTCGGTAATTATGGATTACTGGCCATCACGGCACCAAACTACTAGGGGCGGTTTGGGGTCGTGACAAAATGCTTTGGCTGCAAAAATCTAGATCTAAGCATCTCTCCCTTAGAGATATAAACACCTGGTATTTTTATGTGTCTACAATCAACAAGAAAAGGAAAATTAAGATTAATGAGAAAGAAGGAATCAAGGCTATTATTTTAGATTACTTCTCTAATCTCGTCAAAAGAACTGATACTCAGATTCTTGATCATTGGAGAAATATTGCACCAACCTGTTTTACTAAAGAAGAGAAGGATGAGTTCATGAAATCCATATCTAACCTTGAAATCTTGAGAGCTGTCAAGGATATTGGTGCCTTCAAGGCACCAAGAAAGGTTGGCATGCAAGCTATATTCCATCAGAAATATTGGATCACTGTGGGTAAATCTATGTGTGACTTTGTTTTAAATGCTTTCAAAATATTAAAGTGCCTGACAAAGTTAATGAGACCCTAATTGTGTTGATTTCCAAAATTGATAACCTCGAGAGCATCAAGTAGTTTAGACCCATAAGCCTCTACAATGTCTCTTAAAAGATCATCACCAAGCTTATTGTGGGTAGAATCAGACCTCTCCTGGATAATATTATTAGCCCAAATCAAAGTAGCTTCATCACTGGGAGAAACACCACTGATAATATCATTATCACACAAGAAATCATTCATACTTTTAGAAACAAAAAAGGCAGAGGGGGTGGTATGATATTTAAAGTTGACCTGGAAAAGGCCTATGATAGACTATCCTGGGACTTTATTAAAGATACCTTGCATGAATTCAAACTCAATGACAAATGGATAGATCTGATTATGAGTTGTGTCACCAATAATCAATTTGCCATCCTCTGGAATGGTGAAATCATTGAGTGAATCTGTACTGAAAGAGGCCTTAGACAAGGAGACCTTTTCTTACCTTGTATCTTTGTAGTTTGTATGGAAAGATTGTCTAATATGATAAACTCTAAAGTTAGTGAGGGCTCCTGGAAGGTATAAAAGCTTCTAGAAATAGCCCTTCTTTATCCCATCTTTTTTTACTGATAACCTTATCCTGTTTGCCAAAACTGATCATACCAATTGTAAGTCCATCATAGAAGTTCTTAATGAATCCTGTGAGGTATCTGGGCAGAACGTCAATTATCTGAAATCTAAACTTTTTGTCTCCCCCAACCTCCCTTGCAACAAAGCCAGGTCCTTAAAAATATTTGGGATCCCCTCTTCTTTACAAAAAAGTCAACAAAAACTTATTCAATGAGACTACTGAGATATTAAAAGCTAGACTCTTAGGATGGAAAACCAGAAATCTTTCCTTACACTCATCCAGTCAGTCACTTTTGCCATTCCCAGCTATAACATGCAAACCATGGAGCTCCTTAGGAAAGTTTGTGATGAGATTGACAAAGTCAACAGAAATTTCCTATGGGGAGATACTGAAAATAGCAAAAAAGCCCATCTAGTCAACTAGGATAATGTGTGCAAGAGTAAAGAAGATGGAGGTCTTGGCACTAGAAAGGCCAGGGACCAAAACTTAGCCCTCCTCAGCAAGCTTAGGTTGAACATCCTAAGTGAGAGTAACAAATATGTTGCAAAGTGCATCAATCCAAATATTTAAAAAATAATTCCTTTTTAAGCTGGACCCAGAAAAAGAAATCCTCGAACATCTGGAAAAGTATGTGTAAAAATAGAAACACTCTTAGGAAATGTGTTAAGTGGAGAGTTGGTAATGACGAATCTATTTCATTTTGGAATGATTGGTGGTGTGGGAAGCAGCCTCTAGCCCAAACTTATAACACCCAGCAGGTTAATGACTCAAATAAGGTTAGCTTTGTACTTGTTGATGAGGGGAACTGGGACACTGATATCCTTGCTAATCTTATCAACCAACAAGACCTCCAAGATATCCTCAAGATTTATAGGCCTAGATATGTGTAGACACCCCATTTTTGATCGTCCTCAAGACTTGGACATCACCGTTTGAACACCAAGATATCCTCAAGATTTATAGGCCTAGATATGTGACCTACACTGATGCTTCTTCCTAGATTGGGTCCTCTAATGGCAACTTCTCAACTGCATTTGCCTATAAAATCATTACCAATCAGAAAAGAGATGACAAAGATTGGAAATGGATCTGGAAGATCAAAATTCCCCTAAAACTAAGATGTTTCCTCTGGCTTATTTTGAGAGAAAGATTGCTTACTAACCATTTGCGGCTTATGAGGAACATGGCAACTTCTGATCTGTGTCCTAGATATGGGCTATTTAGTGAGAATATAAGCCATCTCCTCAAGGACTGCCCCAAATCCAAAGAAGTATGGACTGAAATTATGAATCATAATTGGTGGGAGCAGGGATGTGGACAACCTTTGTTTGAATGGGTTACTTCCAGCATGAGAAATAAAAAGCTATTTTTTGGTAACAAATGGTACCTCATTTTCGTTGTAACCCTTTGGTAGATTTGGAAGGATCGCAACAAAATGCTTTTTGAAAACTTGGCTAACCCCATTCAAACCAATCTCAAGAACATAAGGAATTATGTTCCAGAGACTAATCAGGCTTTCTAATCCCTTCTCCAACCCAAACTAGTTTAGTTAATTGATGTATACCATCTGCAGGCAAACTAAAATTTAATACAAATGGATGCTCTAAAGGTGGCCTAGGACAAGCTAGTCATAGAGGATTACTATGGGATAAAGTTGGAACCTGGATATGGGGATATTATGGCAAGCTAGGACGTTGCTCAAACTTGGAAGCTGAACTATGGGCCATCTACAGGGGCCTTATCATCCTCTTTCAGAAAGGCAAAATGGATGTGGAGATTGAGACAGATTCTGAGCAGGCCATCAACCAAATCCAAAATGGCCCAAGCCACAACTCTCTTAGTTACCAAACATGAATCCAAGTTGAAGCTCTGCTTTATTCCCTTTCTTAGTTACCAAATCCAACACACACTTCTTCAGGGCATCCTACAACAATCAAAATCGACATTAAAAATCAAATTAACCAATGCTGGTCTGTTTGGTTGGTTATAAAATTTTACAATGACATTTAAATCTACACCAACATTTAGAACCCAATAAGAAAAATCACTCCAACAAACCCACATTAAGTAAAATAGGCAAGGAAAATTTCTTTTCCTTTCTTTTATTTCCTTAAGTTTCTAAGCAACCAAATGCAGGGTAGGTTTGTGTAAATTTAAAATTCAAAATGATTACCTTTATCTCGCTTTCTGATTTGAGCTTCCCAGCATATATATCATCCCGCAAGCTCTCCACAATCTTAATAGTAATCTTTGGCCCAAAATCAGCAACCAGCAAAGCCGAAAATAAATAAATAATAGTAATAAAACGATAACCTCCAAATCATAGTTATAAAATTTTCCACAACTTCATAAAAATTCAAACAACTAACATGAACTTAAATTTCAAATTCCACATGTTTATACAGTAAATAAATACTTTCATATTAGTTCTCCAAATATCCTAAAATAAAATATAAAAAAAAAGACCCTATAATTTTCAAATCATAATTATATACTATTTTCCGCATTTTATTCAAAATTCACACAACACATTAACAACTAACATAAACTTCAATTTCAAACTCCACTTGTTTATACAGAAAATACTTCCATGTAGTTGCTAAATTGCTGACAATATATATCAAAATATTCATATATACAAACATCCATTCATGAATATATATATATATATATATACACAGGATTAATTTCATTTTTATCCACAAAACTATTGTCATTTTTTCTATTTCATCACTAAACTATCCATTTCATCTATTTAGTTTCTAATTTCGATCCCCGTCCCAATCAATAAGCCTAACCTAATGGGCAAAAAGCTAATTTTACAACTAAAATAATTTAAATCACATAAGGGTAAATTTCATTTTCTCCCTTTGAATTATTGTCAAATTATCTACTTAGTCCCTAAACTAGAAATTGAGTCCATAAATCAATGTCTATTTAGTTCCTGAATTAAAATATTAATTCAAATCAATTTAATGGTCCAAAGTAGGCCAGTCAACGGATCGGGTATAACCCGAATCCGATCTGAATCCGACCCGATTTACCCGATCCGTTTACACATATCCGAATCCGAATATCTGTTTAGCCCGTATCCGCATAGCCCGATTTAAAAACGGATCGGATTCGAATAAATCTGATCTGGTCCATTTGTTTGCCCAATCCGATTACATTGAATTCTCAAAAACCAAATCAGATCTCTCATCATCTCTTCATCATTTCTCATCAAAAAAAACCTAGATCTCTCTCATAATCAAATCTCTCTCTCTCTCTCTCTCTCTCTCTCTCTCATCGTCTCTTCCTGCTCCGATTGATGCAGATGAACTTAGCCAAATTGAGCTCTATGTTGTTTCTGATCTAGGTATTCTTCGGTGAGCTTTCTGGTCAGTATCAAATCTATTTGTCATCGTCTTCTTCTCCTACTTCTCTGATCTAGGTATTCTTCGTTGAGCTCTCTAATCCGTTTGTGTTTGATATCTTAGCCTTTAATACTTATTCTTCGTCTTCTTCTCTGACTTCTCTGATCTAGGTATTCTTCTGCTTTTTACTGCCTTGTGTTTCTCCTTTATATAAGAGGTCTGGTTTGTTTGTTTGAATGGAAAATCAATTCTGAAACATTTTCTTGGATGTTTTTGGGACTCTATATATTTTTTATTTGATGGATACTTTGGGTTGTTTGTTTGAATGTAATATCATATATACTTGTTAGAGTGATTCATGGTTTTCTATGTCCAATCCGGTTCCTTTCTCTTTTACTCTTCAATTGGGTCTTCATTGTTTTCTTCAATAATGTCTGTGCTCGTGCATTTATGTACAGTCTCTGTGTAGTTTGGGTCCTATAAACTTTTTGACTATTTTTTGTTCCCTCTTTACTGGAGCTTTGCTTTGTTTCTTTGTTCCTTGTTTTTATGTTTCAGCTTCAAGATTCTTCTGAATTCAATAGCTTTATGTTTGTTTTTTTTTGTTTTTTAGCTTTTTCATGTGGAAGTGAGCTGCATTTATTTTTTATTCCTACAATTGCTGTGAAAAGTCTTTTTTCATTATGAATCTGAGAGTAAATTTTTCTGTTGACTTTTGGATAGTAATTTCCAAATTAATTTATTTCAGTTATGCTATGTTTGGTGTTGGATTTATAGAGGGGAAATGGGGTGTGGGTTGTGAATTAGCTTGAACTACATTCCCCCCTCCCCCCTCAGTAGATTGATCACATGCACACAAACCTATATAATTTCCAAATTGAAGTGTTTGGTGCACACTGTTTTGTGTTTGTCTGCAGTTGCTATTGGAGATGTCTTCGGATTATAGTGAACCTATTATTCCTGATGATGCCGAGTTGGATGATGATGTATCTCAAGGACCCACAAAGAGGATTCGAAAACTAACTTCGAAGGTATGGGATGACTTTGTCAAATTTAAAAGACCTAGTGGAAATGACATAGCTAGATGTAAGCATTGCAATAGGGAATTTGTTGGAGAGAGTAGGAAAGGGACTAGTCATTTAAAAAATCATTTGTCGAAGACATGTCCAGTACTTAAAGGGCCAAATGCCCCTAGGAATGCTAGTAAGGCTGCTTTTGAATCTACTCCTAAGGCTGCAACTTTTAAATTCGATCAAGAGAGAAGCCGTATGGATTTTTCTAGGATGATAATCAAGCATAATTATCCTTTTAACATGGCTGAGCATGAGTTTTTTGAAATATTTTGCAATAATCTTCAACCAATGTTCAAACTTGTGTCTTGTAACACTGTTAGAGTGGATGTCCTTGATGTTTATGAAATAGAAAAGGCCAAGTTATATCAATTTTTGGAAGAACTCTCTTCTAAGATCACCTTGACAACTGATATATGGACTTCAGACCATCAGAATTTTGCCTATACATGTTTGACTGCCCATTATGTGACTAATGATTGGGAGTTAAAGAAGAAAATCCTTGCTTATAGACGCATTGATTACCCGCATGATGGAAACCATTTGTTTAGCTTTATCAAAGATCTAATTTTAGAGTGGAACATAGATAAGTTGTTTTCAATGGTAGTTGATAATGCGACGAGTAATGATGTCATGGTGAGACTCTTAAAGCGATGGCTACATGACCAAGGATTACTACATTTGGGTGGACAATTGTTTCATGTGCGTTGTAGCGCGCACATATTGAATTTAGTTGTTCAAGATGGTTTGAAGGTGATTGGGAGTCTTATTTCAAAAATCCGAGAAAGTGTGAGATATTTGGGGAGGTCTCCTTATGGAAAACAAAAATTTGATGTTGCAATGAATCATGTTAAGTTGCATCATAAAAAGAAAGTCCCCATGGATGTTCCTACCCGATGGAACTCCACTTATTCAATGCTTGAAGCTGCATTAGATTTGAAAACTGCATTCCGCCGCTTAGGGCAAATTGACAAACAATATAAGCACAATCCTTCTGAGGATGAGTGGAATGTAGCAAATGTGATTTGTGGGTGCTTGAAGATTTTTTTTGATGCTACATCTCACTTTAGTGGTACCACTTTTCCTACTTCAAATGTGTTTTTTCCCGATATTTGTCTTATTCAACTTGAAATGAAAAAATGGGAGCAAAGTGAGTATGATTGCATTCAATTGATGGCTGGTCCAATGAGACTGAAATTTCAAAAATATTGGGAAGAATGTTCTTTGGTGTTAGCAATTGCAGTGGTTCTTGATCCGAGATTTAAAATGGACTGGGTGGAATATTACTTTGGGCTTATTTATGGTGTTGATGCTAATAAGTATATTTAGAGGGTCCGTAATGGTTTTGTTGATCTTTTTTATGAGTATAGGAGTGATTCTTCTGATTCTAGGAGTAGCATTGCACTTGTTTCTGAAAATAGTAGTTCAAGTGGTAGTCAATTGCTTGTCGGTTCTTCGAAACAAGAAAGTTTGGCTGCTTTTCATGCGTGGTATGCCCAAGAACGTGCTTCTAATATTCATGCCAATCAAAAATCAAAGGTGGAGCAATATTTGGAGGAGTTGGTGTTTCCAAGTAATGAGAGCTTCAATATTCTACATTGGTGGAAAGTGAATAAAGCAAAATTTCTTACTTTGGCAAGGATGGCTCGTGATGTTTTAAGTGTTCCTGCTACTACGGTTGCATCAGAGGCGGCGTTTAGTGTAGGAGGTAGGGTGATTGATGAGACACGTGCTTCATTACTTCCATATATTGTGGAGGCCTTGATCACTTGCAATGATTGGATTGAATCAACCAAAAATAGAAGTAAGTCAAATATTGAAGTTTTTAAATAATTAGATGTTATTTAGTTTAGTTCTATAAATATCTTAATGTCACATTATTTTGAAATTGCAGATGTAGAAGAATGCTGACATGAGTAGATGGATTGAATTGAATCACTTGAAGTAGATGGGTAAATATGGTTCAGATTATGGGGCTTGTCCCGTGCCTTTATAGTGATCTATGAAATTCGTATCTGACATAATTTGATAATCTGTTTGCATATTAAGGTAATAGCTTTCTTGATTTGCAGGTTTGATAATGAGCTTAACAAAGTGGTTGCTATTAAAGTTATTGACTTGGAAGAATCGTGAGTATATAGCTTTAATTATCTCTCCTCTATACAATTTATTTGCTCTCTCTTACTAGAACTGCTTGTGGTGAAATGTGGTCACATAACTTTTCTTCTTGGAGCTTGATATTCTTGGGTTGAGCTGTGAATAAGTATTGGATGAGTGGCAAATTGATTGAGAATTTTAGAGGCCTATAAATTTGTAGGATTAATTATTGTTATCAAGATTTACATTGTTTAGTTTGTCTGAAAATTCTGTTGAGTTTCTCTAAGGGAAACCAGATGAATGTGAGTTACCTCTCTTGAACACAGCTCAGTTCTTCTTTGCTGTGTATTTCACTCTCTTGACCTGTTTCAGAATTGGGTTGTTGAGTAGGAGGCAAAGGTAGAAAAGATGATACAACAGCAGATTCTGGCATTACTTCTGCTTTGCTGATCATTGTCCAATCTTAATCATTACCATCATTAGTTTTATTTATTTATTTATTTATAATGCGAGGGAAGCTTTTGGGACGCATTGACGAATTTGAACCACAAAGATCGACAAGGGCTGCTGCCTCCTAACAGCAAATTCTTGGATACGAGCTTCATGGTTTTCCTCGTATTCCAGAATCTATGAATCTGAGTGATCTGGTTGGAAGATTGTTCCTGCTTCAAACTGGATATACTGTTTTTTGGTAGATGTAGCAACTTTGAAAAGAGTTTTAATGTTTTTTCAATTCCGGAAAGTTTAACTGGTTGCATAAGCTTTCTGTAAGAGTAGACGTTATAGTGCGGTAACAACGATGTTATATATCACAGCAGTTGCAGGTCTTTTGTACCTAACAATTCACTTTGAGAATGTTTAACTTTCTTGTCTTCAGAGATGTTATGCATTGTATATCAAATCATTTTGGGTTTTACTTTGGGCTTTTGTGTGACTTTGTGTTAGGTGATGGGATGCAAAAATGAGGTAGGTTTGATGCTTTAATTAATTAGAATTTTTTTAAGTGTTCTTAGGAGGCAATCTAATTTCTTGAATGAATGTTTTGTACGACATGAGTAATCTAATTTCTAGAATGAATGTTTTGTACGACATGAGTAGATGCTTTAAATAATTAGTTGTTGTTTAGTTTAGTTCTATAAATATCTTAATGTCACATTATTTTGAAATTGCAGATGTAAAAGAAAGCTGACATGAGTAGATGGATTGAATTGAATCACTTTGTTTGTCATTTTCATTGTCTCTTGGGATATGCCATGAGAATTACATTACATTACATACTCTTTAAGATATATGTCAATTCCAATTATATACATTTATTAGTGTTCCAGGGTTGTTTTCTTGACTGCTTTTCTTTCATGGCTTGTGTTGTTTTCTCTATGCAAGTTGAATCATTGGAATCGACAATTGAAGCTTTAATGGCTAAGAACTCACTGCAACTATCTTTTTTTGACTCTGTGACAACACAGCATTGGTTTTGACAGTTTCTGATCCAATTACAGTGTCCTGTTTTTGATCCTGCAAATTTAGAAGAGGAGAAGAATATGCTGAAATTAAACTATTTGCGTAATCAACCTTGTCAGATTGAGGCATAGTCTGTTCTGTCGTCTCTCCCTTCAAATTTTCTGCATTTTTGATGACCTTTTCTGTCAATTGTTCTTCTTCACGGTTGTATTCTATGACAGTTAATTCTGTTGGGACTGTTTCAATAGCAGAAGCCATTTCAGTTATTTCTTCTGGTCCTGTTTTTAATCATCTTTGGGATGATTAAGGGTTTAGTTTTTTTGTTTTAGCTTTAGGCCAGCTTGATTTACAGCTATTAAAACAGTTCTATATGTATTCCTGTTATTGAGTAAAAAGGTAAAATACATCGAGTAAGAATCATTTTCCTGTTATTGTACACAGAAATCTATCTCATAGCAAATGGTTTTGTGCTATATCTAATCCAGGTGGCTTTTGTGCTTAGTGAACTTGATATCAAAATCTTATAGGATCAAAATTTAATGTATATTTGTTTGTATGTGGAGAGGGTCAAATTGTTTGTATATCAAACATTTTTTTTTATTTGTATATAACCATATGGACATTTTGTTATGCATGTGTTTATTGTGATATTACAAGTGGATGAAACTAATGAAACCTTGAAGGAAAATGGCAATGTTAGATCCCTGTACTTCTTTTATTTATTATTTCTTAATATAAATTTTCATTTAACCTTGAAATGCCTTTCTATATATATAGAGAGATGTCTGTTTGAGAAAGAAATATCAGTGTTGTGATCTGTGATGGACAGGACATTAATTTTTTTTATTGGGTTTCTCATTATGTATCATTTTCCTACTACTGGTAGGGCCTATGGTTGCTAAGAGCATCTCCAATGCAATACTCTCATTAAGAGGATGAAAATAATATTTTTTATTCAAAAAGTAAATATAGAGGAGGTCACTATTCATTCAAACTCTTCATTTCCTTCATTCAAACTCTATTCAAAAAGTAATTTTTATTCATTAATAAATATTTAATTTTAAAATTTTTGTAAAATATATTTAATATTATACTCATTTTAAAGGTATGATTTTATACTTTTTAATGATGTCAATTTTATAAAAATTAAATTTACAAATTAAAAGTTATTTATAATATAATAAGAAATACAAAATGAATAGTATTTTGGAGGGATCCTTCATTTTTTCATCCTCCCTTCAAATATGAAGGATGAACTCATTCTCCTCCCAAATGGAGATGAATTTAAAGGGTGGGTTGGAGGAGATCATCCTTCATATTTGAAGATATGAAAGATGGGTTGGAGATGCTCTAACCAAAGAGAGAGAGGAGAGAGAAAGAGAGGGGGGAAAAATCGGATCGGATCGGATCGGATCGAATTATATGGATCGAATATCTGTTTAACATGGATCGGATTGGATTGCAAGTAATCGGATTTTTAATAATCGGATCGGATTTCGATAGATCCGACCTGTTGACAGGCCTCCAAAGGATTACAAAAATAAAATATAATTAATAAAATAAAAGACATTACCTAGTTAAGAAAAAAATTTATTCTAGAACAAGCTTAAATTTCTATTATATCTTTGCCTAGGCTTAATGTTACTAATTTGGATAACCTTTTCGAATTGGACTAAATTATACATACATTGAGCTGTAATTAGAAATTCTAAACACTAAAATAGATTAAATTGATAACTTATGGATGAAATTAAAAAATAAAAATAAAAAATAAAACGACAATTAGAAACTCAAAAGACTAAATGTAAATAGATGAAATTGATAGAAAAAATTGGATAAAAGTGAAATTAACCTGTGAGAGAGAGAGAGAGAGACCTCTTCTAATTCGTCGAGGACGCGGTCGGTGTCGGAGAGATTTCAGTAGAGGAGGAGCTCGTCGATGACGGCGAGGTTGTCGCGGGTCTTGGAGAATCCGGAGAAGAGTTTATCGACGTCGCTCTTGGCCTTCTCTTTGATCAAACGACCGAGTTTGGTGAAGAACCCGGTCTGCCCAGCAGAGCATCTAAACCGGGAAGGCTAGACTCAGGTGGTCTGAATCGGAGAGGACCGCCGAGTTCGAGGGAGGTTGAAGACAAATGTACTTATTGAACAAGAAGAAGCATAGGCCATTTGTGTACTTGAAAAACCTTCTCTCTTTTTTTTTTCTTTTTCTTTTTTTAACAGTGAAAAAGCAAGTGAGGATAACACACCTCCCAACGATCGACGAAGGCCCTGTTTGGTGGACGGTTTTTTTTTTTTTTTTTTTTATAATTAAAAGTTGATAATCAAAAATCATAACAGACCTCTTCAGTTTTCAAATAATTAATTTTTAAAAATTTATTTAAATTATTTTTGATTAATGAACTATACATAGAAGATGCACTAAATAGTATTACATAAACTCTCAAATTAAAATAAATTATAATCACTCCTAAAACTGGTTGGAAATAACTTGGGTTAATATAACCTTTCTTTGATGGAAAAAAAAAAATAGGAAGTAAAAAAAATAATTGTAAATTTATAAAAGTATAAGACTTATTCATACAAGCAGGAATTACGTAATAATAAGATAAACAAAAAAAAAATTACACAAATATAGTGGGTACAACCCAAACTTTGTGGAGGTGCAATTCTGAGTTACGCCCTCTATGTTTGTATAGTTTTCTTTTTTCTGTTTCACTTTTGAGTAATTCCTCCTTTATACAATCTATTGCATAAATCACTTCCTTTGATGGGTTTGTAACTTATTTTGATGAGTTTGTAATTATCTTCCTACCATGAGAAATTCTACATACATAATATTTTTAGCTCATTATACCTTTTATTTTTATATTTTTTATTACATTTTTATCTTTTTGTAAAATTATTATCAAGTTGTATTTGATTCATAGATTTGATGAGAGATTTGGAAAATAAAAGAGAAAGGAAAAATGTGATAAATTACAATTTGTCCCTTTTATGTTGGGTAAATTACATATACCCCCCTCGAGGTTTAGCAAACTTACAGATACCCCCTGAGGTTTGAGAAATTATAGATACCCCCTAAAGGTACTATTTGCATAACAAATTAAGGGGCAAATTGTTATGAAAATATAAACCTCAGGAGGCAATTTGTTATGAAAATATAAACCTTGGGGGATATCTGTAATTTTTGAAACCTCAGAGGGTATCTGTAATTTAGCTAAACCTCGAGAGAGGTATATTTAATTTGCCCTTTTATGTTTGACCGTTTTCCCACTTTGGCCGTTAAAATTTATTTTTTCATACTTCGGCCACTTATGTTTCAAATTTTTTCATTTTACTCTTAAAGTTAACTTTTGTTCAAAATTAGATAGAATATGTCACAATAACTATCACATAACATAGAAAAATATTATATTAAAATTTAAATTTATGTTATAGGTATATATAATAAAATATTTTATGTCATGTAATTGTCAACGTGTCATTTTTTGTTTAATTTTTAATTTAGTGAAAAAAAAAACTTGAAATATGAATGGGCCAAAGTAGAAAAAAAATAAACTTTAAGGGGCAAAGTGTAATTCATCCTAAATTATATTTGGATCATAATCTGATTAAAAATTTACAAAGAAAAGTATTTAAAAAAAAAACAAAACAAAGATAAATTGAGAAATATTTAATTTATATTGTATTTACATTTCTCTCTCATTTTTTTTGGGTAAATTACGGTCACCTCCCTTGAAGTTTCTGATAATTACACTAGCCTCCCCTCATTTTTTTGCAAATACACTGACCTTTTCCAAGATTTACTTTTGATTTGCAGATTCTCCCAATCTGTTAGTTGACCATTAGTTTGACTAATAGTTTTGTTTTTGTCAATGGTTAGCTGTTAGATTAGTACGTATGAGGATTTTCAGTTTAGTTTGTATAACATTTAACGTCATTATCTGTAAATTAAGAATAAAATAAATAAAAAATTTATTTTTTAGGGAAACAAGTTAATTTGAATTATTAAAGTTAAATGAGAAATACAGTAATTTGTATGTATGTAAAGCAATAAATTATATATGTATATATATTTATAGTCAAACCAAATGAATATTTAGAAAGCTGACTTTTTTATTTTTTTGACTTTTTTTTTAAAAAACGTGTAAAGAAATAGAGAAATGATATGACTCAAAATAGGTTTGGCTTTTATGAAAGTTCCCAAAGTAGGCCTTATATAATACTACTCAGATAAATATATGTTGTGTCCCAATTTGATTTTTATTAATTTAGATAGAGAGTCTCATCAAGTTTATTTTATTTTTCAAACGATAACTAAACTGTATGATGTAAAGTGTTGATTAAAAATTACCACATAACTTATTTTTATATTTATGTAATTGATTTTTCAATTTGTTTCATTATCACTTTTGCATTACAATAGGTAAGGGTGCAATTCGGATGGGTTCGGTTGGGTTGAAAGTTTATCCAAGTTTAGTCCAAGTTGTGCTGAGACTTACCCAGGCTCGCCCAGGCTCAAATTGTAACCCGAGTTTGTCTGTCCAAATTCGACCCGAGTTAAACCCAAGTTGTCCAAGTTACCCAAATTGTACATGAATTTCAGTTTTTTTTTTTTTTTAAAGCTAAATTATTAATTTATATATTTTTTTAGAAAATTATTAATAATATCAAAACAAATAATTTATATAATGTAAGAGAGATGTTGCTATGATAGTCTTTACAATTTATGAGTGAGAATAAAAAATGTAAGATTGTCTTACTTGTGTATATAATATATATTCAATATAATTTAAGGGTCTAGCTTGTCTCAAGTTGAGATCAAAACTGGACCCATCCAGTTCGGCTGATGGGGCCCATTTTTTGGGCCCGTTTTGATAATCCGAACCGTTCAATGTGTAGAACTCGTCGAGTACTACATGCTTGTACAAAATCACGTTGATCGGATATCAATAGCTATGTGATCAAATCAGTTTTGTATTAAAAAAAAATGGATAGTGAAACAATTAATGGTTGATAAAAAACTGTTTTGTTCACATAGCTATCGATATCCGATCAACGTGATTTTTTACAAGCATATAGTACTCAACGAGTTCTACACATTGAACGGTTCGGATTATCAAAACGGGACCCGTGGTGGGCCCCCACGGGCCCAACAGCACGGTCCAGTCCGATCTTGGACTGGACCAAAGCCACTGCCATAATTTAATAATTTAAATTACTTTAATATCATGTAATGACTAATAATTTATATGTATATTTAATATTTGTATATATCTATATATGTATAATTCGAGTTTCAAGTTGCTCGGATTATTTGATATTTTTGCCCAAATTCATCCAAATTTAATTCGGACTTCCAAAATTTTGCCCAAACCCGTACCAAATTCAAAAATATATTGTCCAAGTCGTAAAAAAATTCAGGCTAGGCTCGGGTTGAATCCGTTCAAGTTGCACCCCTAATAATAGGCTATTCTAAAATACACACCATTTTATGTATATTATATACAAGTTATAACATTTGTGGTGTTTCCTCTTGGACAACCTTGAATCCCCAACTATTAAACACAAATTAGGGAAGCAAATAAAAGTGTGAATGCTCTAGCAAACTATGGAATGCTCATGGTAGATGGTTATTTTCATGTTTTTTCCTCCCCTCCAACCACCTATATTTCTTGGACTCTAATGAATTATGCAATGGGGATGTTATACCCTAGATCTATGAACAAATTTATTTATTAGTTTGGCTTATCTCAAGTTAACATCTCAATTTAAGAGAGCATTTGGACTTGATATGACCATTTTGGAATCGATTTTAATGATCCGAATTGTTCACTTTTTAGGATTTGTTGAGTAGAATATTCATATAAAAAATAAGATAATTGAATATCGATAATTACATATTTGAATCATATTTGTTTTAAAAAAATAGACGACAAATATAATTTCAAGAATAACTATATATTTTTTGTAATATAAATTTGTTTCAAACATATAGCTACTATGTCCGATCATCATAATTTTTTGTATAAATATTCTACTCAACGAGTTTTAAAAAATGAACGGTTTGGATTATCAAAACGGGATATATGATGGGCTCCATGGATTCATCAAGTTCTTTCATGTTGAGATCTCAGTATAAGAGAAACCCAATCATTTATTTATCTATGAAGTCTTCATTTACCACAAAAATAGAAATAAATAAATTGTGGTGTTGATTACTACAAATGTCATAACTAATTTTTTTCAATTATAAGTGAAAAAAAAAAAAAGAGTGAGTCATAAATAAACAACCATATAAGGTATAACTAAAATGATAATCGCACATTTAATGATTATCAATAAAAATATCTCTAATATTAAAATTACAAAACTAACCCTCCCATTAACGCCGTTAGTCACAGGAGAGGTCAGTGTAATTTCAAAAAAATAAAAGGAGAATGGTGCAATTGTCAAGAACCTCAAGAAAGATGACTGTAATTTACCCTTTCTTTTTTAATTTCAATCCTCTGCTCAAACTTAAATTAGAGAAATTATAATGCAATCCACTAATTTATAAATTCATAAAAAAAAAGTTTGTGATTTTAATTATTAATATTTATAAAATATATCACAAATTTATAATTTTTTTTTCTTTTTTTTTAACATACCACTTATATGATATTTCGCCTATAAAATTTTGTTGTGGGACCCATTGGCAATGCCAAAAAACGTGTTGCACGCCTGATGAAAATATATATATTTTTTTTTTTTGAACGACGAAGAAAAGATTTGTCTTCGCTGTAAATTACATGAGGTTTTGCCTCAAAAAAATTTAAAGTTTTTTATTTTAATTTTTGCTATATAGGAAAAGCCTTCTATTTTTTTAGAAAATTATAAAAATATAAAAAGATGACAAAATAATTACATTTTATTGGGATGTTTTCTTCGCCCATCTACATAAATAAATAAAAAAAATGGAATGTTTCTAAAATTATAAAACAAGCAGAAAATAAATAAATAAATAAAACTACAAAAAATTTGTACTTTAAAAACAATTTTGTCTCTTGCACGTCTTTTGCTTCAATACTCTCTTCTCTCCCCTTAAGCCTTTCTCTTTCCTTCCCTTGCTCTTTATTATAATATTTTGGCAACTATCTTCCATCACTTGTCACCCTTCTCCACCCTCTCTTGCCCTTTTTTGCCACACCTATTTCTCTTTTGACCCTTTCCAATTCTCTTTTG